GAGTCTGTACAAACAGCTTGGAGCAGGAAGGCTGCGGGCTCCTCACCTCCTGTGTCCCTGTCTCCTCCCTGCTCACCCCAGCTCTGAGTTCTGCCTCTGCTCTCAGGAAGGGTGTGTTGATGGAGGGTGCAGCTCACTGGGTCACACAGGGAAGCTACAGGGGGTGTCCAAGTTCACATGTCCCACATTCCAGGAGCATGTTTCTGACATTGAGCAATGGTACGGCTCTGCCAGGTTGAGGTCTGTCCGATTGGAATGCAACTCAAAAGGAAAGTCCCGGAGTGATAGTGATTCAAATACTCACCTCCCCAGAACCCCGTCTTGACTTTTAATTCCTTTTTAATTCTCCAATGACACACTCAGCCCAGCTCTCTTGCTGACCGCATGGTACTTGGTGGTGCTGATAAGTACAACTTCCCAAGAGATAGGAATGCAAATCGTCACATTGTGTTGAGTCATGTGTACTCTGCAGCTCTTTCCCAAACATTGCATCAGACCGTAATTGGCAGCTCCCAGGACTCCTCTGCTGGATGACACTGCATGCCCAGTAAAAACTCAGTCCATTTCTTTAAAAAATTATATTTTGACCCTCTCCCTCTGCCTGGTTGTAATATCCTGTTCTTAAGGAAATGGAACCCCTGGGGGAGCAAAGGCAAAACTGGTTTTGCAGATAAGTTGGAAAAATATGGCTATTGCCCTTCCCCACCCACTCTGGTCTCTTAGCAACAAGACAGCTGGTGGTATCCACCAGAAAGAAAAAGCCCAGAGCTTGCAGAGGAGCCAGTCTGAATTCTTGCCTGCAGCCTGATTTATTTAAACCTCTGCTGCATTCCTGGGCGTAGAGACCCAGGAGTCCAGTCAAGGGAGCATCCCCTGCCCTTTGTGTGACCTCTGCAAGTGAGCAGACGGAGGGAGATCTCAGAGTGAGGGGGACGGTCCTCTACAAAAATCTGCCTGGTGTGGGAAGCCAGTTTCCTTTGACTTTGGGGGAATCCATGTGCAAATTTGGGCTTGTTTATAGAGAGAGGTGGCCTGGGGTGGAGCCAGGAAGGAGCACAGAGCTGGGGTCTGAAAACCAGGTCTGCTGGCAGCAGCCTCTCCGTCCCTGTGCCCTCCCCACCCAGTGGTGATTTTCTCAGCTGCAAAGTACAGTTATTGAATTGGATGTTCTGGGTTGGGGGTGCTGGGATGTGTATTTTTATAATCTTTCTGTTCTATGAATATCCATCTGATCCCCTCCCCCATAGTTATTATGTGCTGGAGCAAGAATTCAAACCCAGATCTGAAACCCACTTCCCCTCTCCCTACCGGATGCTGTTTGGATACACACACAGGCACCACATAGCTGGAACGTTGTACCAGGCCATTCTCATATCTTCATCTATTAATCCATGAGACTAGAACTGAGGGGTATGGAGGATTTACGTGGCAGTGGAGACACTTGAGTTCACATTCTTGCTTGCTCTGCCTCTAAGCAGCTAGTGGACTCAGTGTCCTCCACCATGAGATGGGAATATTAGAACCTGACGGCTCAGCTGCTGCCAGGGGGACTAGGTGAGAAGATGTATAGAAAACACCTAGCATGGTGCCTGCTACATAGTAAGTGCTCAATAAAAGGGGAGAGCCATGACAGAGCAAGACTGAGGTGTTGATTGTAGGTTCCTTGATGGTGAAGACTTGCCTCAATTGTCCTGTAACTTCACTACATTGTGTGGCACACAGAAGACAACTGTTTGCTGAGCTTAACAAATGTACCCCCCTAATACACACACACACACACACACACACACACACACACACACACAAGATTGACGAATTTTATGACTTCATCTTGCTGGGACTTTTCATAGGGTTCTGCATTTTAGAGTAACTCATCACAGCCAAGATGCTATGTGGTTGGCTGTTTTGTGTCCAACTTAATAATCTTCAAGCATTTTTAAGAATCCGAAGTCTTGCTTCTCAAAACATTGTTTTGGCCAGATATTGTTCAGGCATTTCTCTCTGTCTCTCTGCAGCTCCCCCTTCATCTGGCACTTAAAACACTAAAGAAGTGTGAGCAGGGCTTGTATTACTGGCACCATACTAAGTCCATTATATATTACCTTATTTAATGCCGTTAATGACCCTGCAGGGGGGGTTTTCCCTTCATTTTCAAAGGGGTTATTTTTTGGCGGGGTTATTTATCCAGACAGATAAACTAGTAAACCCAGGCAACTCAAATTCTAATTGGCACAACTAGGGTTTAAACTTAGGTCATGTGACTCCAGAGTCAACTCTGACAAGTTTCAGCTACTGGCTTCATCAGTGTCCCTGAACTCACATGGTGTCCATTGTCCTGGGGAGCACTACTGCAGCCTGTCCAGAACTTGACTCCTGCTCTGCATGATGATGCCCGTCACCATCCCCTCTTTGCCCCTGAGAACAAGTGATGGAAACTGAGGACACAGAAGCTACAGCATCATAAGCCAAGAGGATTTAAACGTTGGAAGACTTCTTCAAGAGGTCATCTCGTCTGATGGGTTCTGTTGGTGGTGGGGAGGGGACACGGCTTGCCTAGTGGCTTGTAAAAATCAATTTAATAGTTCATAAGAAACATTTCCAAAATGAAATGTTTGCTAAGTTATGTTTTGGATGGAATAGAGGACCTCAGAGGTAATGCCCTTGGGGTGAAGCAGTGTTGAGAGGCAGCAGTCAGGTGTGCACTGTGCGGGTATCTGGGTCACAGCACAAAATGCATTTCTTATTGGGAGGTTGTTTGTCGAAGCTTGAAAATGCCAGTTTCAGGCAGTGATTTTCAAAGTTTATTCCATGGCATAGGAGGCCTCCCATACTTTAGGAGAGGATGGGAGAGGACAAGGAGAGTAGGAGAAACCTCAAGAATGTCCCCTGTTCCCGCTAAACTAGTCCTGTGTTTATCCTCCCTTCATGCTGAGTTTTCATATAGTAGTTCATCTTTTAAAAAGAAACTTTATAAAACCAAACAACAACTAACCAAACAAAAATAAAAACAAACAAACTAAAAAACTGAAGAGCCGCCAACTTACCCCGTCCGAGTTGTGTCGTACTGGGTATTGATTCATTCCTGGGTGGCTTTCTCTGCTAATAAAGGAGTGTGTCTGGCACTGTCCTGGTGGCTATAAAAAATGCAGGAAGATTTTAAAAATGTGATTATCTCTGTCTTTAAACTCTTTGGATCAATGTGATATCAAGTAGCAAGATATTATATGGACATGCATAATGATGTTCAGAATTTGGCAGCCCCTTTAAAAACAGATACAAAGATTTCTGCAAGAAGGTTGTAGAGGAAAACATACTGGAGGTGGCAGTGGAGTTGGAATTCAGTATCAAGGGTTCTTCTGGGGTTCAGCTCAGTAGCATAAACGTGTGTGTAATATGAATTTTCTTGACAACATTTCATGACCCAAAGTCTAAGGTTGTTAATTAACTTGCCCGTGAGTCAACCGTGTGGCATGGGCCAAAACCCAAGGCAAGCACACTACATTCAATTTGTTCATGGAAACCTGATACAAAGTCCCCCTGTATGTGTGGGGCGGGTGGGGAGTTGCAGGGGAACTGCAAAAATGATCAATGCACTTTGTAGCTTCTTCCATATGAGGTGGAGTCTGTTTTCCTAATTCTTCTTTTTCACTTTGGCCCCAAGACTTGCTTTGGCTTTAGAATGTGGCAGAAGTGATGTGTCATCTGAGCCAATTCCTCAAGCCCACCTCTCCATTCTTGAACTCGTGGAACCCCGTTATGGATACGTGATTCAGTCTGGCTGAGCCTCCTGGAGGAAGACCATGATGAGAGACCCCGCCTGTCCCAGCCTCGGCCATTCTGGACCAACTACCGCAGCAGACCTTTCAGCTGATTTTAGATGTGGGAGTGAGCCCAGCTGAGATCAGCCAAGCTCAACCCAGACCAGAATCACCTCCCTGACCTTTAGAACTGTGAGCTAACTTTTGGAATCCTAACAAACTCACCCAAAGTCCTGGCAAATCCTCTCTGGGAGACAGTATCATGACCACATCAGATGGCCAGAAATATTAACTAGAAATGTTCGTAATCATTAGCTAGAAATGTTCACAAACTACAGTGTGCTCAGGTCAGGGTAGGGAGAAAGGCTTTGGGGACCTGCTGGATGAAAAGTGAAGGACTTTAGCAGGAACATGAGTTCTGCCTCCAGAGAGTTCTACATTAGAGAAATGGGACAAAGAATTTGTAGCTTCTGTGGTGGATTAAATAATTGGCTACAATTCTTGTATGATTGCATTCATTCTCGCCAAAATCTTTTGGCGAGCAGTGTGTCTTCTCCTTCTCCTTGACCTTAGGCATCTGGGTTTGGACACATGACTTGGCTTGGCCAGTGAAGTTATAGAAAGGTAGGTAGAAGTTATAGAAAGCCAGTTTTGGACCTTAGAGTACATTTCATGTTTCCTTTCACTCTCCTGTCTTTCTTCGGTTGCCATAACAACATGACTCCGTTGGCCCACTGGTCCCAGACGAGCTGGGACACATTTAGAGGCGAGCTACCTCTGCTACTCTGCAACATGCACCAGAGCCCTCCCAGCCAAAAGGTCCATTTGTTATGGTTTGGATGTGGAGTGTCCCCCAAAAGCTCATGTGTAAAATAATGCAAGAAGAAATGATTGGGTTCTGAGAGTCTTAACCCAATCAGTGAATTAATCCCATGGTGGGATTAGCTGAGTGGTAACTGAAGGCAGGTGGGGTGTGGCTGGAGGAGGTGGGTTCCTGGGAGCATGCCTTTGGGTAATATTTTGATTCAGGCCAGTGGAGTCTCTCTCTCTCTCTCTCTCTCTCTCTCTCTCTCTCTGCTTTCTGACCATCATGTGAACCACTTCCCTCTGCCACATTCTTCTTCCATGATGTTCTGCCTTATCTGGAGCCCTGAGGAATGGAGCCAACTGTCTATGGACTGAGACCTCTGATATCGTGAGCCCCCAAACAAACTTTTCCTCCTCTACAATTGTTCTGGTCAGGTCTTTCAGTCACAGCATTAAGAAAGCTGACCAAAACATCATTCATGCCTGAGAAATTAATGCTTCGTCTTAAAAGCACCCAATTTTTTTTTTGATAGTGACGATTATCATTATATATTAATATAATAATGATTATCATTATATATCAAATAGCTGGCCAACATACTTCTGAAATTAAAATTAACACCAAGGAATAGCAACATCAAGAAAAAAGACTTCTATTGCATGTAAGGACAGATCTTTTTAGCCAAAGAAGGTGAACTGGTGAAATGAAGAGTTTCCTGGCCATGGGCACGTTCAATCATCAGGAAGATGCACGGGACCTTCCTAGCAGAGAATCAGACATTCGTTTCAGAGTGACGATGGTGATGAGGAATTGGGAGAAAGCTTATGGGTCATTTCAGCTGTGTTTCAGCAGAGAGGAAGGATGCGCATGGGGGTGTATGTGGTGTGTGCAGAAGAAGCGTGACTTAGGAGGAACAGACACTGTAGGAGGCTTTGAGTGCCTCATACTATTGTCGACTTTTCATTCAAACTGTGTGCTTTTCACCTGGTGCCCCTCCTCTCTCACCTTTAACTTCTCTTGAAGACACAACTCAAGTCCAAGTTTATCTTCAATACTGCCTGATTTTCCAGCCTTTGGGAGCAACTCATCCCTATTTTTTTCTCTTGGCTGTAATTTGTACA